TACCACTTCAGCATTTTATTAAAAATAAAAATAATAATAATAATAAAGGGAGAAATGTGGGATCAACATATAAATCAAGTATAAAAATCAAATGAATATTCATATTTGACCTGATTGTTTATAGTTCATAATGCATGATCAAAACCGAAAGTTTCTGTGATGAATGCCCTTGTACTGTTCACCACGTAAGAATTTATTCACTATGTAAGAATTTGTTCACCATGTAAGAACTTGTTCGTTACGCTTCAGAAGATTGGAGACTGACGAGAGTTAGGCTTGAGATGGATTAATGATTGTGCATTGAGCATTGACCCCCCCATACTGAATTTTATTGTTGTTAACAACCATTTGATCAATAAATATGAGAGATGCCCTCTCAAAATAAAAAAAAATAAAAATAATAAAAATAAATAAAAAATAAATCCTCTGGATGCATGATTAATGGAAAAACTAAATGTAACTTTTAAAGTTTGGAGATCATTTCCTAATAAACATCACAGAAGATATTTTCCTTCTGCGGAGTTTTCTGGCCTGTAGTTCTGGGGCACCATGAAGGGAGGAGGTGGGCTGTGCTCACGAGCCACTAGCTGCCACCAAAGATGGTTCAAGTAGCTGACTGCAAAAATAATGGTCCCTTCTCTACACAACGAGGGGCTATGAGGAGCTGATATCTTCCTTGTTGTCTTTGGAATGAATTTATGCCATGAAAGAATCTGGATCACTAAACTGTGGGTAATTTGGGGGCAGGGGCTTTATCCTTTTATCTCTACCGACATTATTCAGCACAAAGCCTCTAGGGCTCAGTACCCGTCCGCTGACTGAATGGAAACAAAACCCTGGCTGGTCTTTACTGAGTGAGACTGCGGCTTTCCTCTGTGTACAATCTCCTGTGAAGAACAGTTTAGCTGACCTCGGTCACAAAAGCCTTATCCCTCCAACTCTGCCTGATGGCCTCCTGACTTGTTTTCTCAGCATTCACTACCTTCACTTCAGCAGAAAAGAGACCCACAGCATTAGCTCCCAGGAACCGCAAAAATTCCGTATCCATATGGCCTCTCTGGACAGTCTGATGAATCAGGAGTTTCTGAATAACCTCCTCACTGTACTTTTCAAAGCCGGAGTCAAAGATAAGCTGGCCATTTGAACCAGGAACCAAGTGGCGGAACATTGTGCTGATTGGACCGGGGCCACTGCAGCTGATATTGGAGAGCGAAGCCAACCGCCGCATCAGCTCTGGCAGCAACGCTTGAAGCTTCTGCAGAACTTGCCTCGTGGGAGTGGAGATATCAATTCCTACAGACAAATCTGTGTTGCATCCTTTGAAGGTAGAGGAGAAGAAAATCAAATTAGCCATCTATAGATATATGACCAGGCCCAGATGGTATCAGCCACACTGGTCCTGACAGAAGAAAGTCCAGCCAACCCACAGAAGTGTGAGCTAATGATTGTGGTTGTTTAGTCTGGGGTATGGTTTTTTACACAGGAAAAGCTAACTGATACAATACATAGTGTTTTGTACCTCCATGCCTCTGCAGATCCTGTTCTCTCTAAAGGCAGTGTCCTTTCAGACCCTTTCCACCCCAGTCTGCTTAACTGATACGTATGCTTCAATCCACAGTTCAGGTAACACCCCATCACCACCACCAAAGACCTCTCTGACTCACGTCCCCAGGCCCTCACGCGGAGTCATCAAATGCCCCTGCATATGTCCACTGTTACGTTACTTGACCTTCTCTCCCAGTAAACACAGATTCCTTCTCAGGTAAGACTATGTCCTCTTACTTTCCTGGTGCTTGATACAGATGCTCATTCAATATTGGACTAATAAATGACACAGGGAATGCAAATGAGCCTTGAGTCTCCTTCAGCACAAGCTGTACTACTTTCCTTCTTTCCTCATTCACTGCTCACACATATCAATTGTTTCAGGAAAGCATATTAGAAAAGATCAAGAATGACAATCACACTCAACTTCCTGCTTTTTGTACTGAACATTTTTAAGACCTCCTAGAAGGGTGTACCTAGAGTTTGAAGGTCTATTGGTCTTTCAAGCTATGTTCACCCACTCACAGGTGAATAATAAGACCATGCACAAAATTTCAACAAGGAGGCAAAAGCTGAAGGTTACAGATGCGCCTGTATTAGAATCTGGATAAATGTCTTAAAATGTAATTTTAAGTATCCCTAAGAGGGCTTATTATTATTACTTCTGGACAAGAAACATAACTTGGAATTGTCAAGGTCAAGCCAGGACACTTTGCCGTTTCTCTTTAGACCAATGCACATTGGAGTATTTGGCTCAGAATCAATAAAAACAAAACTGCAGATTTTGGGGGAAAATTTTGAGGAAAATAAATAAATACTGGATGTTTCACCACTGAAAATGGTTATAAACAGTGGCTTACATTTTCTCAGGGACTTGAGCTCCAGGCCTGAGCCATAAGTTTTGTGACCAGATATGTTTCTAGAATTCCCAGGATGGAAAATGCCTTCTTCTGCTCTTTTCATATAAAACGACTTGGTTCTCTTTTGGTTTTTAAATCTCTAATTGAAATTCACAGAAAGGAATTTTCACAGGTATAAATCCCATTTCTATATTGGATATAATTTCAGAAAAAAAGTAACTTCTTTTTTATTCTATGGTATATTATTCCAACATTTCCAATTTTCCTTTTCCCCAGGAATATTTTCAGCCGGATTTACTCTGTAATGCAAGAAGAATTTTCTTCCCTGGTAACAAAAAAGTTGAACATTGACAGATAACCTTTAAGGTCCTTATGACCCAGCTTTATGATTTTAGAATTCTAGAATTAATTAGGGTCTAGCCATTATTAAAGTATCCAGTTAATTTTATCAAAAAAGTCAAAAGACAAAGCTTAAGAGAAATATAAACCCTAATTTACTATACTATAAGGTACAAAATCATCTGAAAAGGGAAACTGGAATCCTATAGCTCTTCGGGGATATATCTGGGTTAATAAATATTCAGGTCCATATAAACAAAAAAGTGGACTTTGATTCCTGAAGAATATGAATTATTTAATAGAGGACATCCCATAATCCATGCTTATCTAAAAAATAATTTTACACATGCACTCTTTTCAATTGATTTATGAGCAAAGGCACTGCAAAGGAGTGATATTCTAGATGGTATCAACAAAAGTATTAACTTAATACTTAGAAAACTGGCTCTGCATTTTGACACCAAATTGCTGGAAAATTCAAACCCTGCCTCCATTATTTCCCATGTGTATTTCTTAATGTCTTTCTTGTTTTTCTCATTTGGAAATTGGATATCATAATAATAGCATTTGCTGCACATGGAGTTGAGGTAGGAATATTGGCCTTTATGGGTTCCATTATATACTCTCTATATAGAGATTCCATCTATACTTTATTATACTATCCTACACTTTGCATTACTATACTGTATTATATCCTACAACATTCTATGTTATTTTATGCTACGCTATATTATACTCTCCTATTCTGTACGATGTTTCATCAGGCCTCACTGTTCTACATTATACTGCTCTCCTATCCAAACATTGATTTGAGGACCAGCAGGACCAGCAGAGCATGGGAACTTGTTAGAAAAGCACAAGCCCACCCTGACTGAAGCAGAAACCTCATTTCAATTTTTTAAGATCTCCAGGAGCTTCAAATGCATGTTAAAGTTTGAGAAGCCCTATTATGTTCTACTATACTCTACTAAAGGCAATATAGAACAATATTTAGTACACAGACTCTAGAATCAGACTGCCTCAAGCTCACATCTCAGCTCTGCTATTTCCCTGGGCCAAACAGCCTGATCTTGCTGTGCCTTTGTTTCCTAGTCTGTGAAACAGTACCCATGTAATAGGGTCATGCGACATTTCCCTTTATAGAAACCCTTGGAAAGTCCCTGGCACAAAAAAGGCCCATCTGAAGGTTAACCACTTTAATTATATGTGGCTGTACTGTGGAATCTCGCCCCTGACGGTGAGTGGCAGAGGCGTCCATGAAGACACTCTCTGCATCAGCCGCCTGCTTAAAGGCCAGCTGGGAAAAGAGCAGAGGAGCAGCTCCAGGTGGCCAGAAGGAGGAGCCCTTGCTCTGAACCTCTCGGTTCTAGATGAAAGCTTAAGGAGAGAAAATGGAATTAAGAACAACCTCAGCCGTATGGAAGCTTTTTTGCAACAAAGCAGAGAAACCCCTATACAAAGCCACCTAGAAAAAGACTGTTCTATTTCATAAGAGCACCTATCCAACTGATAGTATTCTCTGCCTCTGTTTCCCTTTCCATAAGCCCAAGTCTTCAGTACGTTGTGTTTACACATTCCAGTCCAGTTTCACTTATTTACACAAAATAAAGGGAAGAGTTGGAAGGACTTTCTGTAGACAGTTGCAAGAGGGCTCAGGCCTCTGGAATCCAGAGAGGTGACAGCTGCGGGAATGATGAGGAGATCCCCAGGGGAAGGTGGAAAACAGCAGTAGGAGGTCAGGCATGTGTCCTGCCCACAGCGTGATCTTCCATTTGCCTTCCAACTACATGGTCAGTATTATGTTAAGAGAGCCAACAGGGTCCCTGACCCCTACAGTGGGCTTATGGACCAAATAACAAGCCCTCTGCCACTCACCTTGTAGAATGCAAACCTTATAAAGAATTTCCTTCTCCAGGTTCTGCAGAGATTCAAATTTTTCTTCATAATAAACTTTGTGCTGGTCATTAGTAATCTCCAAAAGCTGAGAGTTTTTGGCTTGTCCCACCCCAATAGCAAAAAGTATTATGTTTCTGCCTCTGACAGCCTTGGCTGGTATGGCTGCATTATCCTGGGCGACCCCATCAGTGATCACAATCAAATACTGATGGACACTGGGTCCCCTTCCCCTTGAACCGTCAAAACAAGGCAGAGTGAAGGTCAGGGCTTTCCCGGTGTGTGTGCCGCCATTCATCTGCTGGACGTTTGTGATGGCTCTGTTTGTGTCCACCTTTGAGAAGTATTGGTTGAGCCTGAATTCCTCTTTGGGGGTTGAGCTGAACTGCAAAAGGCCAATCTGAATTTCACTGATACTAATACTGGACTGGTTCACCATCCTCTTCATGAATCCCTTCATTTTTTCAAAGCCTTTTGGGGAGATGGATTCTGAACTATCTATCAGGAAGATAATGTCAGCTTTCCTATTCTTATAAGCTGAGGACACAGGAAGCAGAACAAAACATACATTCAGAGCCTGAAACCCATTAATTACAACTCTCCAGGGGCAGTCAGGTGTAGAATAGATTACTCCATGAAAATATTTTTAAAGGGGGTGGGAAAGGAAGTCAATGAAATAAATTTTCTGTGACCCAGCACAAACCAGTCTCAAAATAAGACACAGCGGCGTCCTGAAGACAGAGACTTTGATCAGCTTGGTTCGCTCCAGGTCATGGTCACTCTATGCCCAATGCTCAGATTTGAACCCACACTTCTAGAATGAAGCCTGACTGAGTAGATTAGATACAAATACTTGGAGGGAAAGAGACATTGAAGAAAAAATTCTTACTCTCTGTGGAGCAGATATCCTGTATCACTTCTTGCTGGATGGCCTCCAAGGAATCAAACTCATGCACGAAAAACATCTTGTCTTTAGTGATCTGCTGAAGCTCAGTAATATCAGCATCTCTGACTCCAATAGCATAAATGATAAGCCCATGTTCCCTCAGTGCCTCTGCCACTGGGTCTGCGGACGTAGCGTCAGTGATGACTATGAGATACCAAGGCCCATGGCTGCGAGCCTGGTCTGCAAATACCTAAGCCATGTCACTCAAGGCCTGACCTGTCATGGTGCCACCTCTTATCTGCTGGATGCCATCAATGGCTTCCTTCAGCCTTGCCACACTCGAATGCTGACTTAGGATGAACTGACTATTAATTCTGTCTGAGTACTGAGTGACTCCAAACTGCACTCTGTCAGGCCCAATATGGAACATCTTTCTCATCTCCTTCATGAACACCTTCATTTCCAGAAAAACTTATTGGTTGATGCTGTCAGATCCATCAATAAGGAAGTAAATATCTACCTTCTCAATGTACACACAGCCTAGGCAATAAGAAGAAGCAAGCCATCAGAGCAGAGCATGAGATGACGTGTAGCCAAAGCCATTGATCCCCATCCCATCCATCCTCCCTCAGCACTCATAGTTCCCTTGAGAGCCAACAGCTTTCTACTGAAGGCACCAGTGACTGCTTAAGGATATTCCCTGTCCAGGAGCATGCTCAGCCCATACACTAGGCAGGCCAGCATGCCTGGGAGCGAATTTGGGAGCAGCCACTGGCCAGTGATTGACAGCCTCATTCCCTTGTCCTTTGGGAGGATGTTGGGAAAATGAAAGTTTCTATGGCCAGGATCCTCACCTGACCCTAAACTACTTGATGATGTAACTGGCCTGCTGCTAGCCTACTGCTTCCACACCCATGAGCAATAAGCTATTACTGACTGAGTCACTATAAAAAAGGCTCTGCCCAGTGCTCTGGGTGGAGGCAGAGATGGAGGAGAATTACAGACCTGCAGACTGCTGGATGCAGACATGATTCTAGTGCTTGACCTATCACCAGGAGAACAAGCCAGGCAAAAAACTTTTTTACCCCAAGAATGTTCCATTGTCATTCCTCAGTCTCATTGAATCCACAGTGAGCTTGCCTGCAGCTGAAACCCACTGTCAAGACAGAAATGTACCCCTTTGAAGTTACGTCTCTCTTGTGTGTCTCCTCAAGAATATAAAGCCTTCGTATGACTTGGGCTCTTTGGAACAGACCAAACAGCCTGTAGGAGTTATTTCTTCATGTGTCTAGATCCAAAAATTAGGCTCAAATAAAACTGACTTTATTTTCAAGTGATTCTCAAGGTGAATTTTTCATTGATAATTCCAAAGGGCAATATGGCTTTACATTTATACACTGTCTCTACAATTTACTAGCAGGTTTTGTCCCTTAGTCACTCTATGCCCAATGCTCAGATTTGAACCCACACTTCTAGAATGAAGCCTGACTGAGTAGATTAGATACAAATACTTGGAGGGAAAGAGACATTGAAGAAAAAATTCTTACTCTCTGTGGAGCAGATATCCTGTATCACTTCTTGCTGGATGGCCTCCAAGGAATCAAACTCATGCACGAAAAACATCTTGTCTTTAGTGATCTGCTGAAGCTCAGTAATATCAGCATCTCTGACTCCAATAGCATAAATGATAAGCCCATGTTCCCTCAGTGCCTCTGCCACTGGGTCTGCGGACGTAGCGTCAGTGATGACTATGAGATACCAAGGCCCATGGCTGCGAGCCTGGTCTGCAAATACCTAAGCCATGTCACTCAAGGCCTGACCTGTCATGGTGCCACCTCTTATCTGCTGGATGCCATCAATGGCTTCCTTCAGCCTTGCCACACTCGAATGCTGACTTAGGATGAACTGACTATTAATTCTGTCTGAGTACTGAGTGACTCCAAACTGCACTCTGTCAGGCCCAATATGGAACATCTTTCTCATCTCCTTCATGAACACCTTCATTTCCAGAAAAACTTATTGGTTGATGCTGTCAGATCCATCAATAAGGAAGTAAATATCTACCTTCTCAATGTACACACAGCCTAGGCAATAAGAAGAAGCAAGCCATCAGAGCAGAGCATGAGATGACGTGTAGCCAAAGCCATTGATCCCCATCCCATCCATCCTCCCTCAGCACTCATAGTTCCCTTGAGAGCCAACAGCTTTCTACTGAAGGCACCAGTGACTGCTTAAGGATATTCCCTGTCCAGGAGCATGCTCAGCCCATACACTAGGCAGGCCAGCATGCCTGGGAGCGAATTTGGGAGCAGCCACTGGCCAGTGATTGACAGCCTCATTCCCTTGTCCTTTGGGAGGATGTTGGGAAAATGAAAGTTTCTATGGCCAGGATCCTCACCTGACCCTAAACTACTTGATGATGTAACTGGCCTGCTGCTAGCCTACTGCTTCCACACCCATGAGCAATAAGCTATTACTGACTGAGTCACTATAAAAAAGGCTCTGCCCAGTGCTCTGGGTGGAGGCAGAGATGGAGGAGAATTACAGACCTGCAGACTGCTGGATGCAGACATGATTCTAGTGCTTGACCTATCACCAGGAGAACAAGCCAGGCAAAAAACTTTTTTACCCCAAGAATGTTCCATTGTCATTCCTCAGTCTCATTGAATCCACAGTGAGCTTGCCTGCAGCTGAAACCCACTGTCAAGACAGAAATGTACCCCTTTGAAGTTACGTCTCTCTTGTGTGTCTCCTCAAGAATATAAAGCCTTCGTATGACTTGGGCTCTTTGGAACAGACCAAACAGCCTGTAGGAGTTATTTTTTCATGTGTCTAGATCCAAAAATTAGGCTCAAATAAAACTGACTTTATTTTCAAGTGATTCTCAAGGTGAATTTTTCATTGATAATTCCAAAGGGCAATATGGCTTTACATTTATACACTGTCTCTACAATTTACTAGCAGGTTTTGTCCCTTCGCATCTCAATTTCATACTCTGTCAAGTGAGAATCTTAACACCCTTATTGTGAAGATTATATATGATCATGCAACACAGTAGAACCGAGTTTTAAAAATTCATGGTTAAAATGACCCAGTCCTACGGGGTGAACAGTGTAGCACAGAGAAGGCACATCATGGATCTGTGGCAAATTGCTACACTGATGGACAGTGACTGCATTGGGGTATGGGTGGGGACTTGATAATATGAGTAAGTGTAGTGACCACATTGTTTTTTCATGTGAAGCCTTCATAAGAGTGTATATCAATAATACCTTAATAAAAAACTTTTTTTAAAATGACCCAGTGCCCTGAAAAAGAATGCATCATAACCTTCTTCTCACTCCTCAGTAAGGGGGACCAGTATTGGGTTATTAATCTCAGGATTCCCTTGACCTGAGAAAGAATCAAGAGCCTTGTCATTTTTCCTGGTGGAAAGGTCTGAGGAAGGCTGGGCTCATTTGCTCAGGCCCTCATTTGGGAGGATGTTGGTCCACATTACTTCTGGGGCATACCCATACTAAAAAAAAGCATTTGTGTTTATCAGAATGAAATTAAAATGTATCTGCTGTCCTGTATTTTCTCTGGCAACCCAACAGGGCAGGCATTGATAGGGGTGTGGAACAGAGTACTTGGAGAATGGAAGGGAATTACAGGAAAAGAAGACAGAACTGCAGACCTTGCTGGAAGCCAGTGCCAGCCGACAGGACAATGGCTGGCCAGAGTCTGAGAAAAGGACCACTGGGCAGGAAAGAACATCTCTGCAGAAAGCCCCACACAGCGGGGTTACAGATTGGCTCCAAGGTGGCCCAGGGCCTTGCACTGTCCAGAGGAGCCAAGAGCCCTGAACACCGACTGGCACTCCGCATTCTTGTCAATTTTGGCTGATGGAAATTTGCTGGGGTAAGAGTGGATATTTTCTGTAGTCTGGAAGCCGCTCTGCACCCGTATCTATCACAAAGCACTTAGCAGACTGTCTGACATGTAGCAGATGGACAGCTAAATGGTGCGTACAACTGTTATGATCACTCAGGACAGAAGTCTGGCAAAACTGTCCTGAATACCATTTACTTCTAAGCTCCCCCACCCCCTAAATCACTCTACACTTTTGGCTGGTTTTCCTGGTTACAGTTTTCTTTCTGGCTGCTATGCCTTCTGGGAAAGAAATCAACTCTCAACTCTTTATACTGTTCATGATTTAGGAAAGAAAAGAAGCTTCTCTCCTTCCCTACAGCATTTAGTCAGGGGTGCACAAGGAAATGGAATTAATGTTTCACAGCTTTTTTCCTCATTCCTAAAACACAGAGAGGGACTAAAAATACAGACCACAGAGAAAGATGGGAATTTACTTAGATATTTTAAATCTCTACACCTCAACACAAGTAATCAAGAAATTACAAGGTCATTTAATAATTGTTTAAAAGAAAAAGCTCAGTAATTTCCCCTGAGGATATAATCACAACCTTGAGTTTTTAAGTTAATTATCTACATTTCAAAATGTCAGCTACTTTAATTCTAATTTGAATCTAAGAAATGCAATGGGATTAAAGATGGCAGCATGAGAGGAGAGACAGAGGCTTCCTCCTAAAACTATATACAATTAGAAAATATAGTTGGTGTAACTAATCCTGAAAGAGCAACAGGAAAGAGGATGGTGCCAGACTGCACATACCTTGAGAAAAGACCAGACCTCACGGAACAGGGTAACGTACCAAAGCTGTGGCCCGATGGGACCCAAGGCCCTCCCCCACCCCAGCTCACTGGCTGGAGGAAAAGAAACAGAGTGGAGAGGGAGTGGAGGCCTGGGACTGCTGAATACCTAGCTCTGGAGATCTGCTCTGGGAGCACAAACCTACATTTCATGGTGCTTTCATGAGTGATTACGAAGTTGGAAAGCTAACACAGGCAGAATTCCTGGAGAGACTGAGATTCCAGCTGCTTGTGGAAAGCAGGGATCCATATCCAGCTGCTCTGGGACAAAAGGTTATACCTGTGTGCTCAGCCCACTGGTTCAGGCAGTGGAGACAGGCATAGGAGCCAGGAAGCAGGAAACAGCTCTTTCCTCCCCCCAGGCACCAATAGCGCTCCCCTGCAACCCCTGACATTGCTTTAGGGGCTAAGCAGCTCCAGAGTAGAGCTTCTGGACACTAGATGGCACCATACACAAATATGAAATGCCAAAGGAACCTGGTCCAGAATAAAATTAATATAACTCCGGAGAAAGATTTAAATGACATGGACCTTATGACTCTTCCTGAAAGCGAGTTCAAAATAAAAATCATCAACATGCTAATGAAGGTACAGAAAGATATCCAAGAACTCAGGAATGAATTCAGGTAGGAGATCCAATCATTGAAGAGCACGATGGAGGGTAATAAAAGCAGGTTGGATACGGTGGAGGAGACGATAAATGAAATAGAAACTAGAGAAGAGGAATACAAAGAAGCTGAGGCACAGAGAGAAAAAAGGATCTCTAAGAATGAAAGAATATTGAGAGAACTGTGTGACCAATCCAAACGGAACAATATTCACATTATAGGGATACCAGAAGAAGAAGAGAGAGAGAAAGGGATAGAAAGTGTCTTTGAGGAGGTAGTCACTGGAAACTTCCCCAATCTGAGGAAGGAGATAGTCTCTCAGGCCATGGAGATCCACAGATCTCCCAACACAAGAGACCCAAGGAAGACATCACCAAGACATATAGTAATAAAATTGGCAAAGATCAAGGATAAAGACAGACTATTAAAAGCAGCCGGAGAGAGAAGTAAGATCACATACAAAGGAAAGCCCATCTGGCTAACATCAGACCGCTCAGCAGAAACCTTACAGGCCAGAAGGGAGTGGCATAATGTATTTAATGCAATGAAGCAGAAGGGCCCGGAACCAAGATTACTTTATTCAGCAAGATTATCATTTAAATTTGAAGGAGGGATTAAACAATTTCCAGATAAGCAAAAGCTGAGAGAATTTACCTCCCACAAACCATCTCTACAGTCTATTTTGGAGGGACTGCTGTAGATGGAAGTGTTCCTAAGGTTTAATCACTGTTACCAGAGGAAATAAAACCACAGTAAAGAAAGAAGAACAGCTAATTACTAAGCAAATGCAAAATTAAATTAACTATCCCCAAAGTCAATCAGGGGATAGACAAAGAATACAGAATATGATACCCAATATATAAAGAATGGAGGAGGAAGAAAAAGGAGGAGAAAAAGAAAAGAACCTTTAGATTATGTTTGTAACAGCATATTAAGTGAGTTAAGTTAGACTCTTAGATAGTAAGGAAATTAAGCTCGAACTTTTGGTCACCATGACTCTAAAGCCTGCAATGCAATAAGCACATACTTATCGATAATCACGCTAAATGTAAATGGACTGAATGCACCAATCAAAAGACATAGAGTCACTGAATGGATAAAAAAACAAGACCCATCTATATGCTGCCTACAAGAGACTCACTTTAAACCCAAAGACATACACAGACTAAAAGTGAAGGGATGGAAAAAGATATTTCATGCAACTAACGAAGAAAAAAGCAGTAGTTGCAGTACTTGTATCAGACAAAATAGACTTCAAAACACAGAAAGTAAGAAGAGACAAAGAAGGACATTACATAATGATTAAGGGGTCAATCGAACAAAAAGATATAACCATTATAAATATCTTTGCTCCCAACACAGGAGCACCCACATATGTGAAACAAATATGAAACAGAATTAAAAGGGGAAATAGAATGCCATGCATTCATTCTAGGAGACTTCAACACTCCACTCACTCTGAAGGACAGATCAACCAGACAGAAGGTAAGTAAGGAGACACAGGCACTGAACAACACATTAGGAAAGATGGACCTAACAGACATCTACAGACCTCTACACCCAAAAGCAACAGAATACACATTCTTCTCAAGTGCACATGGAACATTTTCAAGAATAGATCATATACCAGGCTACAAAAAGAGCCTCATTAAATTCAAAAAGATTGAAATTATACCAACCAGTTTCTCAGATCACAAAGGTATAAAACTAGAAATAAATTATTCAAAGAAAATAAGAACTCCCAGAAACACATGGAGGCTTCACAACATGCTCCTAAATAACCAATGGATCAATGACCAAATAAAAACAGAGATCAAGCAATAAATGGAGGCAAATGAAAACAATAATTTGACACCACAAAATCTGTGAGACGCAGCCAAGGCCGTGCTAAGAGGAAAGTATATTGCAATGCAGGCCTACATCAGGAAAGAAGAACAATCCCATAAGCAGTCTAAACTGACAATTAATGAAACTAGAAAAAGAACAACAAATGAGGCCCAAAGTCAGTAGAAGGAGGGACATAATAAAGATTAGAGCAGAAATAAATAAAATTGAGAAGAATAAAACAATAGAAAGAATTGATGAGAGCAAGAGCTGGTTCTTCGAGAAAATAAGCAAAATAGATAAACCCCTAGCCAGACTTATCAAGAAAAAAAGAGAGTCTACACACATAAACAGAATCAGAAATGAGAAAGGAATAATCACTACAGACACCATAGAAATACAAAGAAGTATTAGATAATACTATGAAAAATTATATGCTAACAAACTGGATAACCTAGAAGAAATGGACAACTTTATAGAAAAACACAACCTTCCAAGGCTGACCCAGGAAGAAACAGAAAATCTGAACAGACCAATTAGCAGCAATGAAATTGAACTGGTAATCAAAAACCTACCTAAGAATCTATGAAATACAAGCAGGAGTGGATGAAAATAGACAAGTAGACAAACACAAAGATATTTATAACAACCAGTAAATACCGATTTAAAATTCAGGCAGTTTGACTCCAAGGTGCATATACTTAACTGCTATGTTTTTCTGGTGCTTTTTAAGAACTGCATATTTATAGCAGGAACTCTTCTAACTGCCCTCCTCTTCAGTGGCTCACCAGATAACTGACATTCTTCCTTCCTTCTGTAGCACAAGAGTGACACTCCCACAACAGATGGAGTACCCGTGCTCCCCACCCCCAGCTCCTCCACTTGAACACTATGCAGTCCTGCCCCACTCAGAGGAAGATGTGGAGACTAGTGAAGGGAAACGTCACTGAAATGGAGGTCAGAGGCCGGAAGGGGGCACTCTCACACTGTGCCAATTGAGGTCAAGTAACAGACCCCAGCAGAAGAATCATTAGTGGGAAGGAATTGTCAATCCAGGCCCCAACAGGGTAAGATTGCATTTCCTACAATAAATCCACCGCTCTGCCGCTCATCCAATGAGAAACTGTCATCCCCCTGAACTCATGCTTTTCTCCAGTGGACTTTCATTCAAAATAACCACTCTAAATCCTCCTTCATAAAATACTATTCCCCTGCTTTGCTGGACTAGCCTATGGCCTTGGCCATAGCTTGCTTATCCTAAATTGTAATTCTCTGCTATACCTGAATAAACCCACCTTTGCTGGCAAAATAACTGACTGCTTTATTTTTAAGGTCTACAAAGAATAAGTTTACCAGAGAGATGTGGGTTTACCACCCTCCTGTTAATGGTATTTTTACTATAATTGCACAACAAACCAAATATTGTGCATATCAAGAGAATATGAGTATAAAATGAGCTGGTTCTTAATCTTGCTCCCCACAATGGAGAGTTGCAAAAGTGATTCCAGGGAGATGACATGCTTCCAAGGAGGATACAATGCCATCTTCTCCAGGTCTGTTCTCTCTGAGGCCATCTGAGTGCCCACTGCAATAATTACCCCTGCCCTGTGCATGAGAGAAGCCAGCCTGGACACACGGTCCTGCGGGACATCTTCCATGATGAGCACGGCTATCTGGTTCCACGCCTTGCTTGGAGCAGCTGCCCTTCTCCTGAGTGAAGACCTTGTTCCTTAGGAAATCCAAAGCAACACCAGTCATGGGCCTTTCTCTTCTTCCTCGGTAGGTTAATTTGTCCAAACGCTCCAAGATTTGGACTGGATTCTGAAATGTATCCAGCGAAAACTCAAGTCGAGGTTCCTCACTGTAAAAGGCGAAGCCAATTCTCACAACATCAGAGTGGGCACTAAAAGAGGGGATGGTAGTCTTTAAGAAACTGATAACTTGTTGAAAATTTGATGGCCTATCCCTGCTAAATTCCTCAATGACTTATACTAAGTCAGCTGGGATAGCATTCGGACATTCTATAAACAAATGAAACACAAAGAAGAGCTTCAGAATGAGAACATAGTAATAAAAATACTTTGTAAGTAAAAGTTGTATTATGCTATAGTTTATACACTGTAATAATATATTTAGTATTAAAAATTCTAGTGATACAGGGTGGAGCCAACATGGCAGCATGAGTAGGACAGTGGGAATCTCCTCCCAAAAACATATATATTTTTGAAAATACAACAAATACAACTAATCCTAAAAAAAAGACCAGAAGACACAGGACAACAGCCAGACTACATCCATAGGTGCGAGAGCCCAGCGCCTGGTGAAAGG